GGTCCTCTCACTCCACATGAACTCTCTAGTTCTGAGTTAATGATCATCAAATTGACCCAGTCACATTTCTTCAGTTCGGAAATCCAATTTTTAATGGATAATCGTCTGCTTAAAGATAAGTCTATTTGTAAATTGAATCCCTTTCTAGATTCGTCTCAAATGATACGAGTAGGCGGTCGTCTTCTCCTTTCAGATGTTCCTTATGATCAGAAATTTCCTCTACTGTTACCCTCAAAATCACATATTGTCAATTTATTACTTACCCGAGAACATCGAAGACTTCTACATTCAGGCCCTCAAAATACACTGTCTAATGTTAGATTGAAATTCTGGCCTCTTGATGGTCTTCGACAAATCAAACGTATAATACAAAATTGTCCTCACTTGTTACCGTTTTAACGCACAAGTCGCGTCTCAAATCATGGCTAATCTCCCGAGGGAAAGAGTTCAAATTGCACGTCCATTTATAAATGTTGGAGTTGATTTTGGTGGTCCGTTTCCCATCAAGACCTCTAAACTCAAGAGAGCTCCCCTTACTAAGGCCTATATGGCAGTGTTTGTATGTTTAGCTACTCGCGCCGTGCATGTGGAATTAATTTCCAGTCTTTCTACTGAAGCGTTCTTATTGACTCTGAAAAGGTTTATCGCCCGAAGGGGTAATCCGAATATCATTTTCAGCGATAATGGCACAAACTTTCTAGGTGCGAAAAACCAATTGAAAGAACTTTATGAGTTGCTTCTTAAAGGTGATACCTCTGAATCTATTCGCTCTTTCGCTACTTCGTGTCAAATTCAATGGAAGTTTTATCCCTCCACGCTCACCACACCACGGTGGTATTTGGGAAGCTGCCATAAAGAGCTTCAAATACCATCTCGTAAGAATAATGGGTAACTCCAATTTTACTTTCGAAGAACTATCCACTGTACTTTCGCAGATCGAGGCAGTGCTCAATTCACGCCCTATCTGTGCGCTCTCAGATGACCCTTCCGATTTTTCCTTTCTTACTCCCGGACACTTCCTTATTGGATCTAATTTAATGTCTTATCCTGAATCAGATCTTTCTGATATTCAAGAAAATAAATTGTCTTTGTGGAATAAATGCACAAGAATTCAGCAGCATAGGTGGAAGGTTTGGACCCGCGATTATCTTAATAGGCTGCAAAATAGACCTAAATGGTTCACTCCTCAGGTAGGCATAAAGCCTGGTGATCTCGTCTTGCTTAAGGACGAAAACTCGCCCTCCTCTCAAATGGCCTATAGCACGGGTAGTTGAGACATATCCGGGAAAGGACAACAAGGTAAGAGTTGTTAAGGTCAGAACTCCTGAAGGCTTATATGTTCGCTCTATTGCTAAACTGTGTCCTCTTCCTATGACTCACCTTCAAGAATATTAATAGTTTGTTAGTTTTAGTTATACCTTTCTTCAAATTGTACATAAACATTTTTTTTTTTTCTTTTTGATGCGTTCACATCAAGGGGGGGACTATGTTGCATATCGCAACCTAAAAAATTCATAGGTCGAATTGCCGATAATGCAAGACAGATGCTGTTTCTATTTGCTGCACATAATTGCGAGAAATTCCCTTCTTAACCTTTATGACGTCGACAACAGTCATTCTATAATTTCTGACAACTCTCTAATATTTGTCACTTTTAAAATAAATCGCTCATTTCTCCACAAAAGATTTTGTGTTATATAAAAAAAAAAAAATATAGTTTTAATTATTAAGTGTAATTTAAAGTAATTTCGAGAGTGTGATCGCCAAAATATAAGGTAACCAATTTTATTTTATTATAACTACATAGAACCAAAATCGAAGGTACTGCTTCAATAAGCAGTTTAGCAACATATTCAGGGGGAGAAATAAAATCCCCCTATGTTCTTCACATTGACTTCGAGAAGGCGTTCGACCGAGTCCAACACAATACACTTTTCGACTGCCTACGGGCAGCAGGACTTGACCACTATGATATAAGACTGCTGAAATACTTATATTACAATCAAGTAGCCTCTATCCAAATTGGAGACAGTCCCACTGAAAAAATACCCATCAAACGTGGAGTACGGCAGGGTTGTGTTTTGTCACCCACTCTTTTTAATCTGTACTCTGAAGAAATCTTTAGGGAGCTTTGGATGACAGACAAGAGGGAGTAAGACTAGGTGGAGAAGTAATCAACAATATTAGATACGCGGACGATACAGCCATTCTTGCAGAAAGTTTACAAGATCTCCAAACATACTAAATCTAGTCAGTGAAGCAAGTTATCGGAGAGGCCTAAAAATCAACATTTCAAAGACAAAGTGGATGGCAGTTGGAAAGATCCATATAGATCAAGGTCTGCTTTCTCTTAATGGAGAAGAGATAGAAAGGGTAAATCATTTCAAATACCTTGGCAGCTGGTTAAATGTAAATTGTGACTCTGATGAAGAGATAATATGCAGGATCGAAATATCACGTAAGGCTTTTATGACCTGGAAACCAGTTTTATGCAACAGAAACCTGTCAATGAACATTCGTAAGAAGGTCCTGAAATGTTATGTGTGGTCGATCCTATTGTATGGTTGTGAGACATGGACGTTAAAAACCACAATGCTAAACAAGTTAGAAGCATTCGAAATGTGGTGCTATAGACGAATCCTAAAGATATCGTGGGTTTCGCACACTTCCAATGAAGATGTTCTTCAAATGATCAACTCAGAACGTCTGCTCATAAACATCATAAAGAGAGAAAAAACAGAATACTTCGGCCATATAATTAGAGGACCCAAATACCATTTACTTCGCCTTATAATACAAGGAAAAGTGGAAGGAAAGAGATGGATTGGTCGAAAGAAACTTTCATGGCTGCGTAATATTAGACAATGGTGTGGTTTCACAGTAGAAGAATTATTTCGCGCAGCAGCCGACAGAGAAAGGTTTCAGGAAATTGTAAGCATGATGACGGCCAACGTCTGAATACGGACACGGCACCCAAAGAAGAAGAAGAGTACCTTAAATTGTGTCGATTTACACTTCCACACAGGGTAAAAGTTGCTTCATCGGAAAAACATATCCTGTTAACGAAATTTTAATAATTTTCAATTTTATCCATCGTTACCTCAGTAAACTCTAATCTAAGACCAAAATCATCTTCACTTAATTCTTGCAATAAGTTAATTTTGTATGATTTAAATTTATTTTTACGTAATAAACGTAAGACTGAAGAATGACCTACATCATGTACTTGTGCAACCCTGCCTGGGGATGTATGTGGATCTTCAACAAAACTTTGCTTATATCTGAAGTTTTGTTGTCATTGATAACTCGTTTCGGTCAACCTGATCGGTATCTATCTGTTTATTTCTCCAGATTCCTCAAATAGCCTTACAGTTTTTTGTACCGTCGTCTTATGAATATGAGAACGGTTTAGAGAACGGCATTTTAGAGAAGAAATTTAAATTGCAGAACTTTTTGAACCACAACTACTGTCAATTTTAGTTCATAATTTAAATGGTGAACAAATGTCAAAATGAAGTTAAATATCGATAGCAATTAAAGTAAACTGTATAACCCAAGCTTAATCAAGCCATTCAGAGCGATGCTGAGAATATTAAAATTCCACTATGCATCAACAATTTAGCCATATAAATTACTATCATTTTTGTAACACACATTTCATACGCCTCATACTTGTAATTCCGAGAGTCCATGTTTTCAGTCCGTATAGCAATAAGGAATAAATGAATGTTTTTCCAAATTAATATCGGATATTCAACGATAAGATAAAGTTTATTAAGAATGTTTAGTACATTCATCAAGTTTACCTTACATTAAGTTATTGCATTTAAATTACTTAATTTTGGCTTATACTTATTTATCCTTGGTTTGTTCTTGATTTTGTAGCCATATGATAGGGCGGTTTAAATTAATTGTCTTTAAAACACCTACTTAAAAATTGATAGTCCTTGAATTTTCAGTATTTATATTTTAATTACTTTCCTTTTGTTTAATAGTCTTGTACACTTTATTTTACTGTCATAGAGTATGTGGGTTTAAATTATTTTTTTTTGTTTAAGTTTACGACCCCTTATTGTTGTACCCTTCTTTGCACCCGTAGAGTATTTGGGTTTTAATAACTTCTCATGGGTTTAATATATCGCTTAAAATAATTATTTTACAATTACAAAGTTCCCACCCACCGACAAAACTTTCTGGGGATCAACCACTGAAAGACACACCATGACCCTCCCCCCCAACAAAATTTCTGGATCCGCCACTGCTTACTCTTTGCTACAATACTCTGCTCATATGTATATAATAATATGCAAAATAATTTTTAGAATATAATGATATAATCAAAATAAAGTATTTAAACATACATACAAGATAATAATAAAAATGTAAATAATAAATAAATTATATATTATATTTAACAAATTAACATCATTATACCAAAATTTTTAAAGAAAAAAATTAGGATGTTTTAAATTTTAAAGAACGGAAGTTACTATTAACGTCTAGAATGCTAAAAATGGCTTATTTTCAACATTTTTTTTTGTATCTTATTAAAGATGGCAATTAGACTTCCTTTATATTTTTATTTTGAATGTGAAGAAATTTAAATTGGTTATTGCAAGACTGTTTATAATCTTGAAGGTCAAGTGAGTAAGTAGAATCTGTTTTTTTTTATTGAAACCCATTTTGTGTTCTGCTATCCGTTTGTTAAAGGTTCCACCCGTTTGACCGATGTAAGCTTTTAGACAGTCGCCACATGTAAGTTTATATACCCCACTGTGTAAATGTTTTTTCTTTTGGCTCTTGTTGTTCCTAATATATTTACTTAAGTTGTTGTTTGTTCTAAAAGCTGGCGTTATTCATTTCTTTTTATGTGTTTGGTTATTTTTGATATCTTGCCTATATATGTAATTAAGTAGAAAGTACTAGGTTTTTTCTTTGTTAGTGGAAAGACTAATTTCAGTTTAAATACAATGTTACTAAATACTAAATTATAATGTTACCTAGTTTCATGGAAAATAATAACTCCAGGTCCAAGCGCACCAGCAAATTGTTGAGCGTCGGCCTTAGTCAAGGCCTTTCTTAAGGCAGAACTAAAATGGTCCTTGTAAGCCTTAGAAGCACCTCCAAGAAAAGTATACATATCTCGCTGAAGTCTTTCTGCTCTAGTTCTATATATAATAATATCTGATATCGCCAATACTTTGAGTAGCAGCCGAGTACGTTGATGTTCTCGTTTTGATATGCCTGAAAAGAAAATATAGCAATTATTAACACAAACATCGTCGCTCAATAGGTCCCGAGCCTAACCATGAGATGGCGACTCTAACGAATTATCCACAGGACATTTCCAGTAGTGTCAACCTTTAAAAGTATAATGTCAAAATTTCATGTCATTCAGATTATTATCTGCCGAGTTAGAAAAGCGATATAGAAAAAATTTGAAGTCTTCGAGATGTGGCTATACAGAAGAATCCTAAGGATATCATGAACGGACAAGATAACCAACGAGACTGTACTACGAAGAATGGGAAAAAAAGAGAAGTAATGTATACGATTAAAAGGAGAAAGTAGATGAGAAACGGCACTAAATACAGATTACTGAAAATAATCCTTCAAGGCAAAGTATTCGGAAAGCCAGGAATTGGGAAATCATGGTTAAAAAAACATGTGGAAATGGTTCTCCACAACAACAACTAATCTATTTAAAGCATCAGTTAATTAATTATAGCCAGAATGATCGAGAATATTCGAAACGAATAGGCACCAAAAGAAGAAGATTTATCACTGTTATTTGATGGGAAAAAATACCGTGTAAACTGGCTCAAAAAGTGTTATCGTTACTCTATTCCATCGATTACAATCATTGAACGATGAATTGCTGAATTCAAACGCGTTAGTATTGACACCAATAATGTTGAGCGCTCTAGAATTCCAAATGGGGCAGTTATTCCCGAAAACATCGAGAAGACAATGAAAATTATTATGGAAACCCGCAAAGTGAACTTGCAAGAGATAGCTGACACTCTAAAGTTATCAAAGGATAGCGTTGTTACTATTATACATGAACATTTGGGTATGAGAAAGCTGGTTTCTCGTAGTATCTCGGACATGTGATGCGGGGCGATAAGTATGGCATCCTGCGACTCATAATGCAAGGAAAAATAGATGGCAGAAGAAGCATCGGAAGAAGACGAATTTCATGGCTGAAGAACCTGAGAGAATGGTTTGGATGCAGCTCAAAACAACTATTTAGAGCTACTGCCTCAAAAATTAAGATAGCTATGATGATTGCCAACCTCCGTAGCGGAGATGGCACCTGAAGAAGAAGAAGAAAGCTGGTTTCCAAATGAGTGTCGCGTTTTGTCACACCAGAGCAAAAACAACATCGAATTGATGAGTCTCGGTGCTGTTTGGACATGTTTAATTGGAATTTGGAAAAGTCGAAGGTTTGCATCGGTATGTCATACTGGATAAAACATGGATCCATCACTTCATTCCGGAATCAAATCGGCAGTCATCTGAATGAACAGCACCTGAAGAAAGCCTTCCAAAACAATTGGAAAGGTTATGCCTTCTGTATTTTGACACCAGCAAAGAGCTATTTTCATTGACTATTTGAAATATGGAGAAACAATGAACAGCGACTACCATCGGAGTGTTTAAAAACTGAAATTGCAAAAAAGCCTTATTTGTTGAAGAAAAAATTGTTCTTTCAGAACAAGACAATGACCGTATCAGAAGTTGATGAAAACGATGGCAAAAATGGACGAATCAGGCTTTGAATTGCTTCCGCACTCACTTTATAGTCTATATCTGACCCTCAGCGACACCTTTTTTCCGATCTAAAAAAAAAGCTCTGAGGCAAGAGATATCGCTCCTTTGAAGGTAAAGATAAATCGTTTATAGTTATAGGGCGGCATCGAAAAATTAGAAAAGTGTTGGAATGATTGTACCAACACTTTGTATATATATGCATCGAAGGTTTAATGTCATAGGCAAATAATGTTTGGGTATTGACATTGTTATAAAAATAAAAGTTGGTGATAAGATTAAATAAGAATAAATATTATTAAAAGCGGTATGTTATCTCTTAGAGGCGTCCTTGGATCAACTGATACAAAGAAAATGGTAACTAGTGAAATCCGTTTGTTTACTTATTGTTCCTATTTTTGTTTAGAAATATATCTAATACACGTGTGGATAATATAAATTTTAAGTAGAAAAATAAAACCTATGTACTGACATCAGAAATACGTATTTTCAATTCATTTAAAATTTCACGCAATCACTAACCCAATTAGCAATGTGTGCTAGCTGATAAATAAACCGGAGTTACTTCTCTACTTCTTATTTGGCATTTATTGCCTGTTCCGTCATCAAAATATGTTCCTTTTTCATGGGCCGTCGTGTAAATGTGTGTAATGGCTCCTCTACATATCGGCAGACGCGTCCGCGGACGACATCTACGTATGCATCTGGAGATGTGTAGATGGGGTAATTTGATAATCTGTTGTTTATATATCACGTCGGCGGATGCGTCAGCAAGATATCCGATTGTTGTCGGTTTTTTTAGTACAGATCAAAGCATTTCGGTGCGGACGTCCGACGCCTTTCCACATGTCTGACATCTGACTTCTTCGTTTCCATTTTTTTAATGATTCTATTCCGATGTACACTCAAGTAGTAGTTGAACGTTCTCAATAGGCATATAGCTGCGGCAGCTATGGTCTCAACATCAACATCCATTTTTTTTAATGCTCGCGTAGATATTGCGTCTCCCGGGAATTAACACAGACTGAACGATTTACAGATGTGTCCAGATGTGTGATCAGAATGTGATGATACATCTGCAGATGCATCCGCAGACGCGTCTGCCGATATGTAGTAGAGGCATAAGTCGATTTTCATCCAGTCTATTTACACTACTCTCCAAAATTAACGCACCACCTCAACTGTACCATGATTTTGAAGATATTTTTCTTTTGAATCCTTAATTGGAGTTCACTAAGTTTTTTCACATTGTAGGTATATTTCTAAGTAATTATTGTATTAATGCTTTCTGGAAAATATCAACGTTTTAGCCATATATGTAGTGGAAAAATAAAGTTGTGTTTTTTTTATCTTATTTTGAAACACTCTGTGGAATTTATTAGACAAATACGCTACATCTTATTAATATTACGAGATATTAACATTTTCGTAAAAAAATCATCTCGATATCTTGATTATCAAAAAAGAAAAGTACGTTTAAAGCATAAAGTCATTTGATTGAATTGTAATACTCATTAATTGAAGCAGTTAGGTCGATTCACACACACCCGTGACGTGACCGTAACGGGACAGTGCAGTATCAGTGGCCTGTAATTTCGACTGTTTCACTTCGTGTTCACACAGCACAATGCCGTGTAATGAAGGTTACCAGAATGGCAGTTCTTGGATACCATTGTTTTACAACAGTGAACTGTTGATGATTGCTATAATCTTAGATGAAGAATCACAAGAGGAAAAGGCAACGATATACTACAAATAAACGCGTGTGGGTCCATCAAGCTTGAAAGAAGAGTGCAACGAAAGAATTTTTTACTTTTATATAAGAGTTGATGGACGACGGGGACAGGATTTTGAATATTTCAGAATTTCTAGGAATATCAATATATTCCATCAATAATAAGTCAGCAGGTCCGGATAATGTTCTCTGCGAAATATTAAAGATCCTATGTAAATCAGACAAACAGTTCCTTGATAATCTAGTTGTACTTTTTAACAACATATATAATAGCGGTAAAATCCCGGAGAACTGGCTGCAGTCAACATTTATTACAATCCGAAGAAACCAAATGTCCAGATTTGTGATGACTACTGGCTTATAAGCTTGATCAATCATGTCACTAAAGCGTTCACTAAGATCATTCATAGAAGAATATATGATAAATGTGAGTCAAATATTGATAGATCGCAGTTTGGTTTTCCGAAAGCACTTGGAACTAGAGAAGCAGTTTTCGCTCTCCAGGTGCTTATAAAGTGGTGTAGAGATGTTGATAAGGACGTGTATTTGTGCTTTGTGGATTTTAGAAAAGCATTTGACAATGTCAATCATGAACAATTGATAGATATTCTGCGAAAGACAGGTATTGACGACAAAGACATCCGAATTGTGGCAAACCTATACTGGGGTCAAACAGCAAGAGCAAAAATTGACAACGAACTCACTGGAAGTGTGCAGATCAAAAGAGGTGTTCTTCAGGGGTGTATCTTATTCCCACTCCTATTCAATATTTATTCCGAGGAAATATTTAGCAAATGTAAGGAAAAAGCAAATGAGGGCATAAAAATAAACGGCGAGTTAACGAACAATATAAGATAGGCCGACGACACAGTGATCCTTGCCAGTATCATAGACGAATTACAACAGGTAATGGAAAGAGTTTATTAGTGAGGAATACGGCCTGAGCCTCAACTTCAAGAAGACAAAGTGGATGCTGATAAGCAAAAAGCAACAACCTGCTCGACAATTCCGGATAAGTAATTTACTAATTGACCATGTAAAATCTTATGTGTACTTGGCACCAATGTGTAAATGCAAAATGGGAACAGGCCACAGAAATTAAGGCGATAGAACGAGCTAGAGCAGTATTTAACAATATGATAAAGCTCCTCATAAGCAAGGACTTGTCTCTCCCCTAAAACTACGTCTAGTCAAATGCTACATTTTTCCGATCTTACTATATGGTGTGGAGGCCTGGACGCTGACAGAGACGCTCACGAGAAAACTAGAAGCATGCGAAATGTGGGTGTACCAACGCATTCTTCGTATATCCTGGACCAAACATGTCACCAACATAGAGGTAATCCAACGGAAAGGAGAAAGAAATCGTGAGCACAATTAAACAAAGAAAGCTTGAATATCTAGGCCACATATTGAGACACGATAAGTAGAGTCTACTGCAATTAATTGTCCAGGGGAAAATAGACAGCAAGCGAGGGCCAGGCAGGAAAAGACACTCGTAGCTCCAAAATCTGCGGAAGTGGTTAGGGCTCATATCGTTCAGAACTGTTCAGAAGCGCCGCAAACAAGATCAGAATTGCCATGTTAATAGCCAACGTTCGCAACGGACAAGGCACTTGAAGAAGAAGAAGAAAGTACTGTTGGCGTCTCATAGCCCAGTGTATAGTCCGTTGCAAGATAATCTAGAAAGCGCACAGCTCTGGCAGCACCGTAAATCGTTCACAGATACGATGATCAGAGTCGTTTTTGGTTGAAGAAAAAATAGTAATACTTTACGTTTCATAAATCATTCAAATATTTTTGCCAAGCAAGAGATGAGAGAAATAGGTCTTATGGTAGTACGATTTTTTACCTACGTATAGCCATATGCATAAAAATATTGAACTTACCCAAGAATCCTTCGGTATCGACACAAATAACCTTCATCTTTGGATTATACATTGCCCATACTCCCAGAGTACAAGAATCCTGAGACGAGGAAGTCTTGAACACTTCTTCGCCATCGAAAAACACTTTATTCAACGTATACGATTTTCCATCGCCGGTATTTCCGAAAATAGATACCACTTTAACTTTTTCATGTGGTTGAATGTTCAAAGCTTTGAGGAATTCCTCCTCCGAATTTATCCTAAGGTTTTCGTTGTCATCGAGGAGCAAAGTACTTTTGTATTCATCGTCTATGTCAGCGGTTACATCTAACGACATAAGGCCTTCTGGTAATTTATCACCGCATGCATTATTAAATTCAGGTTTGTTGTTGATGTTGGGATCGATCGATTTCAATATGGGAGATCCCGCACCTGGATGTTTGGTTTTCATATTACCTAACAGAGAAGTTTTCTCCATTTTTGTAAATTCGAAGACCTTCAGTCGTACTGAGTTTACTGTAACAAAAAGAAAAAGTATGTAATTGGTAAATAGTTACCACCGTTTGGAGGAGAAAGGCGATGGATAGGAAAGACGAGGGAAAATCTTAAGGAACTTAGTGGAACTTCAAAATAATGATAATGATGACCAAATAAAATGAAGTATTTGAAAGTAAACATACACTGAAATGAATAAAGATAGTAGTAGTAGTAGTTGACTTTCTTACCGGTTGTTGAGCTCAGAATACAAAAATTATTTTTTAATTTACTACGAAGCGTTTTAAGAATACTTGCATTCATCTTTAGATGCCTTGTGATTTCAAAAACCACATTTTAAGCATAGAGGTGAGAGAAATTATACACAAATATGTATTAGAATTGTTCTGAAGCTTTTTTCTTGTGGCATTTTAAAGTAATTACTATTTAAATGGCAATAAGCCACAATTAAAGGTTAAAGTACGTTTATTGACGTTTCAATTTCCACTTCGGAAATCGTTTTCAAAATACAAACATTAAAAATTAAACAAATTTTGTTTTTTTTTGTTACTTGGTGAAAAATTCTTCCAATAATTTAATTTTATCTGACTCATTTATATTGACAATTCAGACGACTTTAAAATGATATTGCCAATATTGTTGAGTTGCGCTCCTGGGACGACTTTACTTATAAGATGGTTCATTCGATTGTATGAAATTAACTTGAGAATATCCGTCAGAAAAAAAGCATAGCATGTAATTCGTCTTTAAAAAGACAAACACATGTCATGATGATAGTAAAATTCTCCTGTTAGCGATTCCATAGAAAATTATGAGGAAAAAAAAAAACCAGGAAAAAAACCTCGTAACACTATCCCGACATGGTAAGTAATTGGTCATGCATTTAGTTTACCTTCAATAAATACCAAATTCTGATTTTATATGTTTGTTATTTAAAAAAAAATGTATTTTCTATATAAGTATGTTACTGACTTACTAATACTGGTATTTTATAATATAACTGTGATAATGGATACAACTCAATATAAAAACAAAATGAAAGATCTATTAATAAACGGATCTTATACAAAATTAACCAAGGATCCAACAAAGCCTTTGAAAAACAGAATATATAGAACTTTATTTAAGTTTAAAGATTGTTTAACAAGTTATCAGAGAAGATTAATAATTATACCTCATTACAGTAAGACCCCTCATTTTTATGGAGTACCGAAAGTTCATAAAACGAATATACCACTTAGACCCATTTGTAGTACCATGAATTTTTCTTGTAGTGAATAATCAAAATTTGTATTATATATTTTAAAACCATTTGCAAATAAAAATGACACATTTATAAAAAATACACAACATTTCTTAAATAAATGATCGAATATTGGATATGAGACTCGGGTGTATAGAAAACCAACACACACCAACATATATCTAAATTTCAAATCAAACCACAATATTAATATTAAAAAGGGAATCATTAAATCCTTATACGATAGAGCCAAAATTACTTGTTCTAACAAAAATTCGTTCTTGGAGGAAAAACATTTGTTAACATCTGTTTTATTAAAAAATGAATCCTTTATCGTTTATAAATAAGGAATTTTCAACAATCGATCGAATAGAACAGAACAACTTAGAACGAGATCGTACAACATACACAAGGAATAATACGACCAAAAATAACAATACCATACATAAAAGAATTATCAGAAAAACTTAAAAGGATATGAAATAAATTCAACATTTCAACAACATTCAAAACAACAAACACGTTGAGATTTATTTTGTCATAAACCAAACCTAACAATGAACAAGAAAGGACAAAGAATTGCTTTTATAAAATACCTTGTCAATGCGATCAGTTTTATTTAGACGAAACATTGTAGAAAAAGGGTATACATATGTGGGAAATTATGAATATAATTTCAGTGTATGTGGACTGTATTATATAGGGCTGGTTCAAATAAATTAGGATATGTAGTAAAGGGTATACAGACAATAGCAAATTAAGTTTGTACAAAGTCTTACCAATATTTCTGCTCCACACTCTCGCGGTTTTCCCGGTTTTCTGGAAATCTGACGTGGTTTCGACACGTTTGCATGAACACGATATAGAGCACACTTTGCGTCTGTACACGATTTAAAATAGTATATGCGGTATTTTTCGCGTAACTAAAGCGGGAGAGAGATAATTAGCGATAGAAAACAGCCAAGAGAGATGCTGTTCTTCTTGGTAAGCGAAGAGAGAGAGAGAGAGTGGACTGTCCTCAACGACAGATACCTGTACCAAGCGATAGGTAACAGGGAAGAGAGAATGACTGTCCCTAGCGATAGCAGACAATCAAGAAGGCACGACTGGCCCTAGCGGTAGTCAAATCAAGAGAGAGTCTTTCTTCTTTGCTATCTTAAAACTGTCTGTATTCGTAATGGAGTGGGGTTAAAATGTGAGTAGGAAAGGTTGTCAAGGGTTGGACTAAGATAATAATTGTAAAATTGTGATAGAAGGATAGTTAATAATACAGCGAAAAAAGACATGATTTTTCGCATGTTAAAAAATTGAACAAACATCAAAACCATTAAATGTTAGAATAAGTGAACATCAATCTTATATTAAAAATAGAGAATTTAATAGATCTCAAATATGTAAACACGCTTGGGATAATGAACATAGGGTTCAATGGAATGATTCAAATATAGTCCTAAAAGAAACGAATGGTAAAATGAGAAAATCAAAGAAGTGGCTCTAATTATGCTAAATGAGACCAATTGTGTCGCAAATTCCTCTGCAGATTGTAGTAGGATCTGGTTACCCATACCCATATTAAAAGAGGAAGTTATTAAAAGGAAAATATCAGTATTAGTAAGTCAGTAACATATAGGGGATACATAATTAATGTTTTTTTTTTTAATAACAAACATATAAAATCAGAATTTGGTGTTTATTGAAGGTAAATTAAATGCATTACCAAATACTCATATTAAATTATTAGAAGAATTTTTCACCAAGTAACAAAAAAAAAACAAAATTTGTTTAATTTACTAATGTTTGTATTTTGAGAACGATTTCCGAAGTGGAAATCCGAAATAAACGTACTTTAACCTTTAAATGTGGCTTATTCCCATTTAAATACTAAATATTAGAATCTGCGAAAATCAGAATGCCACCTCTCACATCCAAATGTAGTCATTTTTCACAGATCCATGGTCTAGCAGTGAACGTTTATTATGGTATGGATAAGTTGAAAAATTGCGTCTTTATTCGTATTCCAAAAACTCGTTCATTAATTGCTTGAAAATCTGTTGTGTAGCAGCGATAAAAATATTAAATAGATATTTGTTGTATTAAACCGTAGTGCAACGTTTATTTGGCGAATTAATTAATTTTTACACCGATTAAATTCATTACAAATGTTATCGCAGAATTAAAAATATATAAACACAGCTGATTACTATAATAACATAACATGTTTTATGTTAAAATGACGCGAAAAACAATTAGATTTTTTTAAAGTATTGTTTGTTTGCTAAAGTTTAATTATCACATTGATCATGCAAGTCAGGTTTTATTTATACGTCTGGCTACTAATTCCATTGAAACTTATTCATATTCGCAGCAGGATTCAAGAATGTTCCAAAATAACATTTTAAATGTACTGACCTTACCCAACAAAGAAGTGCGTTTTAAAATAACTTCGGAGAAAAAATAAAATTCTTTAAATGACTGAAAAATTGTCTTTATATCAAGGTAGCGCATTTACTGCACACGTTACTTTCTTGTTCTGAAAGCATTTTTCATACAAAAGAAACAACAAAATCTAAGCGCACAGAAAAATTTTAAGGGGTGCAGCCCTAAATCTCCCTAAACTTTTGTGTACGTTCAAATCAAATGAATTATATGGCATCATTAGTTTAAACTCATTATTTTTAAAACTTTTTTGCCTCTTATCACTTTTTCGAAAAACTAGTTTTTTTTCCTAGTTGGCCATAAAATTACAATTAGTTTCTACGGATACAATAATTACAAACAGTTCCATCAATAATAGTCAATAATGTGAAGCTATCATTTATTGTTTGAATAAGATTAATATTAAAAATTTTGATATTACAATGGCATACACATTTCAGGAAATGGCTGATATGAATTTAACTTTGGGTAAGTTGGATCAGATTAAATTATGATTTAAATAAACTATCGGTAATATTGTAGGTGAATGTGAAGGAAATAGTACAGCAGTCGCAAGGCGTTATGCAGTAAAATATCCCAATCAAAATACACCCGATAGACGATTATTTCTGACCATTGATCGTCGTTTACGGGAAACGGGTACATTCCAACCGCAAGTTGCTGGCAATAGTGGTCGTCCAATAATGGATGCAACTGATGAAGACATTTTAGAAATCATTGAAGAAGTCTCTGGAACAAGTACAAGGGTAATTGCTGCTCAACTAAAAAATTAGTGCATCCGTTCACTCACAGATGACACTACTGTAATATATGTCAAATGCTATGAAGGTTGCAGTTTTAAGGCAAAATGGTCTAAGTCTGACTTGGACCATTCTGCCAGAAATTCTGTCACGAATTTTTTATAAGTGTCACGTTTGCTTGTAGTAAAATGAGTTCTAGTGAATCTGTAAATGAACCGTTTAGTGCTAGTGATAGCGAGTACGAGCCAGAAAACAATGACGATTCAGCAGAATCTGATTCTGATAGCGGCAAGTTTATTTTGTTATTTCCTTTCATAACCTCAAATGTGTGAATAGCAGTATTTTATTTGCACGTTTGTTTCAGTTGACGAAAGTTCGAAGTTAAAATTGGGATCAACTACCAAGCACGTCGGCAGAAAACGAAATAGAGAGCCAAGTAAACACATCAAGAATGTTCGAAAAGAAAAAAGAAACTGTGGGGAACAATATGTGTCTACATCTAATAAGGTGGTAAAAGCGAAAGAGTTTCATAACAGGCAGTGTACGTGCAAGGGCAAATGCATTCAAAAAATTTCTCAGGAAGAAAGGAAAGCTATCTTTACAAATTTCTGGAACATAGCTAATTTTTCAGCACAAAATGCTTTTCCAGTTGGTATTGTAAAATTGTCTAAACCAGCCACTCACCGTCCAAGAAATGGTACAAGGCAGAAAAAAGCAGTATCCTACACTTATGTCCTAAATACCCCGAAAGAGTCTCATAAAGTGTGCAAAATGTACTTTTTGGAAACCTTTGCAATAAGTAATGGTAGGTTAATGCGTGCATTAAAAAAGGGGGAGATATCATTTCCTGGTGAAGATTTACGGGGCAAACACGCACCTAGCAATAAAACTCCTGAAGGAAATATACAGTTAGTACGCGGTCACATAAACAGCTTTCCTTCTTATGAATCTCATTATACACGAGCTCATAATCCTAATAGAAAGTTTTTAGATCCAGAGCTCAATGTACGTACAATGTATACCCTGTACAAAGAGAAATGTGTAGAAGATCCTGTGTCAGAAAGTTTATACAGACAAATTTTCCATCGCGATTTCATACCATTAAAAGATACATGTGTTAAGTGTGACAAATACAAAAATCAGGTGACCCAGGAAAAGGATGAGAATACGAAGAAAGTGCTTCAATCACAACACGAGCTGCATTTACGGCGCAGTGAAAAGGCCAGAGCTGCTTTGAAAGACGCTAAAATTACAAGCATACGTGAAAAAGGGAGAGTGTGTGCATTCAGGTTTGATCTAGAAAAGGCCTTACCGTTTCCAACTTTGACTTGCTCTGTAGCCTACTATAAAAGAAACATGTATGTGTACAATTTGGGTATTCACGAGTTGAGCGACGAAGACAAGGTGTTCCTGTATGCTCTGGGATGAAACTATAGCCTCTCGAGGAGCACAAGAAATAGGATCTTGTATTCGAAAGCATGTTCTAGAAAATGCAAAGGACGCAAGACACATCATTGAATTTAGTGATACCTGTGGGGGGCAGAATAGGAACTTTAAACACTGTTTGTTTTGGTTGAAACTCATTGCAGATTCCGATAATTTGGAAATGGTAGACCATAAGTTTATGGTATCCGGACATTCCTTTCTCCCGAATGATCGTGATTTTGGTGTAATCGAACAATACGCAAAGAATAGAGTTAAGTATGTGCCGGACGACTGGTACAGTGTGTTTGAGAAGTGCCGCACAAAGAAACCGTATCGTGTTTGCAAGATGAACGGAAATAATTTTGTATCGTCACAAAACCTGGAAGCAGCTGTTACCAGAAGAAAGAAAAATGAAGATAACGCGCCAGTATCGTGGCTTAAAATTCAATGGCTACAATTTAGAAAGAGTGATCCCCATAAAATATTTTATAAAGAAACATTAGATGAGGAGTTTCCTTTTGATGTCATAAACTTGCAACCTGTACGAAAAGGATGTATCGCCAATTTTCAAAACTGTATGAAGCTCCAATACCAGTTACGATTAAGAAAAAAAAAAAGGATATGGAAGATCTTTTGGCGTTTATACCGCCCATTCATCACGACTTTTTCAAAAATTTATCCGTAAATGGAAACAACACTGCAGAAGTAGGTCCACTGGAAGATATTTTGGTGGCGAATGGAGACGACAATGTTTTTTATGAATAAAAATTTAATTTGTAATAATTATACACAAAAATACACGATCGTTTGTAAGTCTAACTTTTTTGCTTTACTCCAAAATAATGAACCTATTGAAAGCCAGAGTGGTCTAAGTCAAAATATTAACAAAAAAATATAAAAAATTTCGACTGCTGGCTGATTGTTCCGCTGGAATTACTTAAGTTTAACCTTTTTTTATTGAAAATCATTCTGATCAAAGTCAGTTTTTATGTTCCCATTTAACACCAACATTTTAACTTTAAGTCGTTGTTTCTCGAATTTCAACATTTCTGACTTAGACCACTCTGGTTTTCAACGGCTCATTTGCTTGAGTGAATATGAACATGAAAATTGTTTATCTAATGTTATGTCACTGTGTTACACTATGCCATTTTAATTGTACCTTAATTCCTAATCCTACTTAAAATTAACCATAAAGCACTATTCATACTTAATTAATTAAAGGAATCCCTTATTTAAGTATACATTAGTGTTCCTTAAAGTTTAATTTTAAGTATAAAGCTATAGATACACATTGGATGCCCATTTAAAGTAGTACAATCGAATTTTAAAGTATCAAAAAATAAATGAAACATTGTATTTTAGTCAAATTATAGTATTTAGTTCTTCCCTTCCTTCCAATGCCACTACAGTGCAAATTAAACCTTGGCCTCATGTCACTTCTGTCTTCAAATATGTGGTCCCTGTGCCACATGTCTCCAAGTTCTAACATTTTTTAAAACACAGCTTTTTTATATGAGTTCATTTTTACTTATTCTTATGCCATGGGGCAATTTATTACAGAATTTTATGAAAGAATAACTGGCCCCTTTTTGTCACAGCAATGGGGTTAATATACTTAATCTCCCTATTGTTATAACAATGTACAGATACATTTCACACAGATGTTTATTTCTAGAGAAGGAATGGTAGACATTTCTCAGTATATAACGCAGGTATTCTTAAAAAAAGATTGCACAGAAGACCTAAACAATAAGTATTAGCTATCATTTAATGAAGGGTTGATAGGTATATAGCTCTATCAGAAAAAACCAACAGGTACAATTCAAGGAATCATACATAATTTAACAGATATTTTATTTTAGGCAGTGTACTAAAAAAAACCCTCAAAAAATATGTAAAAAACACAATAAAAACAGTCTGGGCAACCAAAAAAACTACAAATAGTAAGTAATGAAACAATGCAAGCCAAAAAATTATTAACAAATACCCATAAAAAAGAACAGGTCGGAGGGACCCACACACATAATCGTTAAGTCACCAAACTGGACCAAACTCAGAGCAGGGACTTGGTGCCTGAGCTAGGAACAGTAAATCAATGATAAGTCAGTTAAGACAATAGCCAAGAATTTCTGATTAGGAATGTTTAGAGCTAAAAGTAGGGCAGTGTAGCGTGAGTCTGACTAGATGCTAAAATAATACATCAAGAACTGGCTCAAATTGTGAGTAATGGCTCATAGAAATCTCTAGGTGTTAGTAACTACCTCTACTAACTATCTCAACTGCTTTTGTCTAAGTATATATGTTTTAAATTTTTGTATGTTCTTAGACTAGAGTCAGTAAGTGAATTTTAAGAAACAATTGTAATAGTAAATAAAATTTGTAAATAAATAGTCTATATAGGGCTAATTGTGCATTTTAATTTATCTTCAAACTATAGTTTACTTATTTTGCACAAGCTGTGAGCATACAATTTTTTGGGCTTTTATATGAATATCTTGAAGGTAAGAAACAATTAAAGAGCATTAATAAAGTTTTTTATTTGTACAGCTGTGACTGAAAATGTTAAAAATATATTGTTATAAAATATTATTATACAAACAAAAACCCAGCAATCTCATATTTAATACTACTTTTACCAATATTTTTCTACCACATAGTCAGTAGTAAGTGGTTTAACATAAAGTGAACCTGTATAAATTCTACCTTTCTGTAACTGCTGAATTCATTAATTAATTAGCAGTAGGCTAGTGTGTTTTGGTTTCAAATAGTTTTGTTGAATTTTGTATTAAGAATAGTTTAGTAAATACAAAATAAGATTTACCATACATATTTATTGAGAATATTTCCTGTGAATTCCCTTGCATAATAAATATCAGAAATTTATTATGCTATAAAGATAAGACAGAAAAGAAATGAAAAATATATCATTGTTAGTACTTACCAAAAATAAAAATATTTGTTTTTCACTTTTCAAAGTAAAATCTCTCAAACACACCATTATTAGAGATGTAAATCAATTAAAATATTGATTACTGTTAGAACCACAGGTGTAGGCATTATGAATGCTTATAAGAAGTCATAAATTAAGAAAAGCCAATGAGCAGTGGCAATCTGCCCTCATTTAGCATCAAGCTCTCATATAAAATCTAATTTGTATAAACATTTACATAGATATGGGCACTGTTTGATTGATATAGGAAATTGGGGCTGTGACCTGTGCCAGCAGAATGATGACCAAATCATGAACAAATACGGGCCATTTATACCTCCAGCATTTAAGTAAAGTAGAAACTTTAACGTGAATATAGTTTTAATTTTTAAAGTTCATTGTAAGGTGAAAAGAATAAAATAATGATTATAAACAAAAACTACAATTCTTTAAGGTTAATTAAAAAATTACCTTGCCTTCCATGTACTTATCTACTAATTGTAAGTTAGACTAACTGAAGGTTAAGCATCACATTCATGAACAACAAATAACATTCACCAACAACAAATATATCTTTTACAAAATTATTCAATTTGACTTACTTTTTCAAACACTGTAAAATGTGAGGTTATGGATGGACGAAGGACATGCTTTTAACAAAATAACATTTTTGAAATTTCCAACCAGTCTCAAATTATTAATAAATTTCTAATATATCTATATGAAAGCAACATTTTATCACATATTGTATACATACACTTTCAATAAAAATATGTTGACGTATGAACATTTAAAACGCATTTAGATGAGTTTTATCATGTTTAAAGCGAAAAAGTATACACCGAAATACGTAAACTTAAATAAATTTGTATCTTACCACTAGCAAAAATTCACATCATTGCACTAAATTATCAAAATCTTAACAATTGTAGTTGTTAAAATGTTTGCTACTTACACATGACTTGACACTAAAATTTGACGTTTAACAAAAAATACACAACACACGCACGGACAGGCGCGTATTCTATGTTATTGACACAAAAAATTGTTTTGTTTTGAATCTTGAATCCCAACTGAGTTTATGTGGTTTTATTTTATTTGTTATTTGTTTATCAAGGGTTTATTTTTATCTTCTTTAACACAGGTTCTTAGCCGTTTCTTTGTGTTACAACTATATAAATATAACTAGCGGCTTAGGACATTTCTCTGAGTTTTTATTCTTTAAGTAAACGACAACGACTACATGTCAATTTCCGTTTTCTTTGCTGAGAGGTAGACTGCATAATAGGAGGATGCATTTCTGTGATCGTTCAGAAAATCACGTAGACCACAGAGCGTTATATGAAGTAAATTGAATAGTGAAGCCACCATCATAAATCAAATAAATGACCCGGAATAACAGGATCGTACTCGGATATTTAAATATACAGTAATAAAGAGAATATTTAAGACATTTTTGCTGCAATTTGTAGAAATGTGCTAAAACAAGTTACATATTTATAATTTAAAAAATATTTTAATCATTGGATTTTGTTTTTAATTTTTATGACAATCTTAAAGCAATCTTGTCTGGTAAAAAAACAACTATAAAAAAGTGAGTAATTGTCTTTTGAAAGATAACTGATTTTTAGTTGCTGTAGAGCGTCTTGTTGGCATTATTGTAATAAACTCAAAAGCTCAGACATATTTCGCTTATGCACGAGAAAAGTGTCACATTTCAAAAAAACTACTTCTGAGATATTTCCATTTTAATGTCATGTCGGTTTTTTCAATTTCAACTTGTAGCTCCATACAATAACAATTTACAGTAGAACCTTTACAGTGTGGTGGATTGGAATGGTCTTTACAACCTGTGCTTATATTGACGGTAAATTAACCAATATTTTTCTAGTTCTGGAAAAAAATTTTCCCTTTTCATCTAAAAAAAATGGGAAGGTTTTGTAGAAATAAGACACTATGACAAATTTGAAAATGTTATTTTATTGAAATATTAGCTACAAACTCTCATAAAAGGGTCTATAGTAAGATCGAATGATATTTTTTTCGAATAGAGACATAGGTAATCCCAGTCTTCTTTTTTTCATTTATTTTTGGTTTTTCTGTATATGCTGGTAATATCACTTTGACTTTGCCTTTGGTTCTTCGTTTTATTGGTATGGTAGAAATAAGACACTATGACAAATTTGAAAATGTTATTTTATTGAAATATTAGCTACAAACTCTCATAAAAGGGTCTATAGTAAGATCGAATGATATTTTTTTCGAATAGAGACATAATCCCAGTCTTCTTTTTTTCATTTATTTTTGGTTTTTCTGTATATGCTGGTAATATCACTTTGACTTTGCCTTTGGTTCTTCGTTTTATTGGTATGGAGGAATACTCGGATCCAAATGAATCTGTATATTCTACTTTTTCAGTTGTTAAGTGAATAATGCGCAAGTCTCTAATTTTGATAACCCGTTGTGGAATTACATCGGGCAATGACTTTAAGTTTAAAAAGTCCTTATAACTCATTTCGAGAACTTGGAAATTTTTCTTTCCTATTTTTATTCCTCTCATGAGTGAAAAGTACTGATCAGGATGGAAAATTGGTGATGCTTTTCGAAACAGCTTTACTTTCTTTTCAATGAGTGAATGGGCTAAATCTCCTTTATTTTGGGTATGGCCCTTTATGAGAAACTTATGGGTTATAGATTTTAAATACGGTAAGGTGTCCACCGCATATTTATATAAGTTAAACATGGGATAGTTTTTGTGTTGCCCACAACAGTTGTCTGTGTAAAATATTACATCAAGTTTTTGACCTTTTGCATTTAAACTTTGTAGATAATTATAAATACATGTCCCAATTTCATTAACTCCACGTTGGCCTTCACCCTCATGCCACACGAAGCAGCTTACTTCATCATTTTTTAAGTCATATACTGTGAAGTTGTACACAGAGAGCTTTGACACGTAATAAAATCCTGACGCATCGCCCTGTGGGCATGGAAGGATTGCTTGTAAGTCATAAACAGCTACATGCACATTGTCGCCACTTTTTCTATCCATTTCCATTTCTGTGCGTACTAAATCCTTTTCGAGTATATGTTGCTCGTATGAGGTCTTTAATGCTTCCTTTTCTTCTCCAATGCAATTTTCGTAGCCTACGCACTGCTCACATTGGTCTTTCTTAGGAACAAAAAAGGAAATATTAAATTCCGTTTTAAAAATATTATTATACATTAGATAATTTGCAAATGTCTTTCTCTCTTCTTTCTTTCCAGCCACATAGTCCCTGTGTAAGTCGGCTACAGTTTTTCCACCACAGATGAATTCCCTTGTTGTATCTTTTCGGCAGTAGTGGCTTTCAATGCGAGGGATAGATTTTATGTGTTCCCTAACTCCTTCCTTTACCCCCTCTTCGACACTGCGAGCACAATTTCCGTGCTTTCCACGTTTCTCACCCTCTATATCTATACCAGCAGACGTTTTTGACATTTTGCTGATAACAGTTCTTATTGGCCTATCATTAATACCAAGAGTGTTTCGAAAGAAAGGTTTACATACCCGTCGCTTTTCACCGTTCTTCTTGAAATAAAAAGCGTGGTTTCCACCCCTCAGTTGGTTTAGAGAACCGTCATCGTTGACACGCACGTAATTGTATTTCCCACGTTCTATAGCGTCCATACATTGCCCAAGAAAATCTCTTTGCCTTTGTAGGTCTCCTAGCTTCCAGTAAAATGCAAAGATAGCTGCTCGTTCCTCTTCACTGAACTTAGTGATACACTGAAACTTGCATCCTCCGCAGGCTTGGCCCATTTTCCTTGGAGCAATCTTTTTTTTCTTAGAGGAAGTTGATGTATACGCCAATCCTAGGTTCCTTCTTTCTTTCGCGATCTTTTTGTGCCATTTTGCTGGATCAGATTTCCTCTTCTTGACATTAAGTCTTTTTCGCATGTTGATTGTTTTATTTTCATCAGGTAAAAAATCAGGATCATCGTCACCGTCGGTTGCAAACGGATCTTCTTCCGAACTTTCATGGCCTCCTTCGACCGTGCTTGCATGTTCTTCCAAGGTAGACTCCAAGGTACCATGGTCAGGGGTCTTGTCACTTTTAGCCACATTTTCTGCTTCCCCTTTAGAATTAGCCTCAACAAACTCACCTTCTGAAATAAATAAATTAAATTAGTTTCATTCATTGGTTAATCAAGAGCAGTAGAACCTTCATTTTATTTTAATCAATTTGAAATAACTTAAAGTGGGGTGGGGCGTATGGTTTGAAATATTTATTTTTTTTTAATATTCTTTGAAATGTAGGTAATATATTTATTTATTTTAAAAATAAAATAATTCTGCTATAGCTTCGAAAAAAAATCACAAAAATGCTTGATATGTTGATTTCAAACCATATCCCTCCTTAATCTAATATTTACCTTTAACAATGACAGCCCTACAGATCTGCTCAGGATCAGTCTCAACTTCAATAGACTTCATAGCATTAACCTCGACATATTCAGTCTCATTTACTATAGACTTAATTGTAATGGGCTTTATCGATTCACTCCCAATTTCTGTTGTCATAAGAGAACCAGACTTAACAAGCTCGTCTTCTGTAATAAATAAAGCAAAAATAAGGTTTTTTCTATTGATAAGAAAGAGCAATCAGACTTTCAGTCTGTCTCGAACAACTAAAAATTATAATTTAAACTAACCTTCAACTTCCATATGAACAACAGTGTCCGTCTTCACATTTTTAGTCTCAACTTCTAGAGCTATCCTAGCATCGATCTTAACATTATCAGTCTCCATTTCCATATTCCTATCGCTAGTGGGCTGACTAAGTTCATGGAATGCTATTGAATGTGATGCTTGAAAGTCTTGATTATCTATCCATCTGCTGGTCTTGCTGTGTACCGTCTCCATTTCACTAGGAAGAGGGACTTTCTTTAGGTGACTATACTTATTATCTTTTACAACTTCCCAGTGCTCTTTATGTGACCCTCCTGTGTCCACAGCGGACTTTGCCAACCTCATTAACATCATTACTCGATTACTTCTTTGTCTCTCCATTATAAACTTAGTCTGCAAATAATAATCGGTTTTACATTATTTTGCCATTAACTAGTTAGGATTGCAACGTTGAGACAATTGTTCCAAATAAATAATTTCTACCAGATCGTCACATTTAAACAGGTGTCACTTTGAGACACACAGTAATAAAAATGGGCACGTGAGTATTATTAAGAAAAGTGACATATTTTAATTGATACATTATATAAAACTGTTAGATTTATATTTTATAAGCATAATTCTAAAGCAAACTGTTACAATTTTAGTATGTCACTTTTCAAGATAATATTAGAAACAAGCCACATAGCAAATTATTAGAAATTTTAAATGTGACGGTTTACTAAAAAAATCATGTACTTACCTCGACAACTTCTCGCACTCACAACTAAATTATGTCGATACGTACATCAATAGACGAACGACGAACCATCCGACCTTTACACCGGCAAAGCGACATTTCCTCCCATCTCTCGGAAACTATTCGGAGTTTAGTTATGACACTACGTTCATAAAATTCGCCGTTTTTTTTTCCGATTTTTCGGTGTATTACCTCAATTTGACAAAATTTTGAAATGTGACACTTTTCTCGTGCATAAGCGATTTCATAACTATAGGACAATCGCCATCGCCATATTATACAAGTTCTTTAATTAAGAGATTCTTACCTTTAAATTTAAATAAAACTACTTAAGTGTGTGTGTGTGAGAGATATCGAAATTTTTTATTCGTTTGAAAGGCCTCTCGATGGCGTTATGTACAGAGAACTACGATTCTGTTATCTATGTAGAAATTGCAGATATAAAATTCTTTAATTTTTGGTGTCAAAAATCGATTTTTTGTATCACCAATGAAGATATTTTCTTACCATAATTTCTACCATAAAAGGTTGTTTGTCGGTGTGTAGGCAATGCCTTCTAGGAGCTAGACCTTAATTAAGATATTATAAGATTAAGATC